ATAAAACACTAAAAATCTCCTGAAATTCTTTTAGCTTCTTCTAAAATCAGAACACGGGGATCCCTGAGATTCTTTCTAATATAAAATACTAAAAATCCCCGAGATGCTTTCTAAAATAAAATGCTAGAAATTCCCCCAGACTCTTTGAGCTTCTTCTAAAATCAAAAGACGAGGACCCCTGAGATTCTTTCTAAAATAAAATACTAAAAAACCTCCAGATTCTTTCTAAAATAAAATACTAGAAATCGCCCGAGATGCTTTCTAAAATAAAACACTAGAAATTCCCCGAGATTCTTTCTAAATTAAGCACTAGAAATTCCCCGAGAGGCTTTCAGCTTCTTTTAAAATCAAAACACCAGGAGCCTTCGAGATTATTTCTAAAATAAAACACTACAAATCTCCCGAGATTCTTTCAACTTCTTCTAACATTAAAACACCAAGTCCTCCCAAGATTCTTTCTATTAAAAAGGCACTAAAATCTCCCAACATTCTTTTCGTTTTTTTTTAAATAAAAAAACTAGGAGACTTCGAGATTCGTTCTAAAATAAAATATTAGAAATCCCCCGAGATTCTTTCAGCTTTTTCTAAAATAAAAACACTAGGGGTCTTCGAGATTCTTTCTAAAATAAAACACTACAAATCTCCTGAGATTCTTTTAGCTTCTTCTAAAATCAGAAGACGGGGACCCCTGAGATTCTTTCTAATATAAAATACTAAAAATCCCCGAGATGCTTTCTAAAATAAAACGCTAGAAATTCCCCCAGATTCTTTGAGCTTCTTCTAAAATCAAAAGACGAGGACCCCTGAAATTCTTTCTAAAATAAAATACTAAAAAACCTCCAGATTCTTTCCAAAATAAAATACTAGAAATCCCCCAAGATTCATTCAGCGTCTCCTAAAATCAAAACACGAGGACCCCGAGATTCTTTCGAAAATAAAATACTAAAAATCCCCGAAATGCTTTCTAAAATAAAACACTAGAAATTCCCCGAGATTCTTTCTAAATTAAGCACTAGAAATTCCCCGAGAGGCTTTCAGCTTCTTCTAACATTAAAACACCAAGTCCTCCCAAGATTCTTTCTATTAAAATGCACTAAAATCTACCAACATTCTTTTAGCTTTTTTAAAGTAAAAAAACTAGGAGACTTCGAGATTCGTTCTAAAATAAAATATTAGAAATCCCCCGAGATTCTTTCTAAAATAAAACACTAAAAATCTCCTGAAATTCTTTTAGCTTCTTCTAAAATCAGAACACGGGGGCCTCTGAGATTTTTTTTAATATAAAATACTAAAAATCCCCGAGATGCTTTCTAAAATAAAATGCTAGAAATTCCCCCAGATTCTTTGAGCTTCTTCTAAAATCAAAAGACGAGGACCCCTGAGATTCTTTCTAAAATAAAATACTAGAAATCGCCCGAGATTCTTTCAACGTCTCCTAAAATCAAAACACGAGGACCCCCGAGATTCTTTCGAAAATAAAATACTAAAAATCCCCGAGATGCTTTCTAAAATAAAACACTAGAAATTCCCCGAGATTCTTTCTAAATTAAGTACTAGAAATTCCCCGAGAGGCTTTCAGCTTCTTTTAAAATCAAAACACCAGGAGCCTTCGAGATTATTTCTAAAATAAAACACTACAAATCTCCCGAGATTCTTTCAACTTCTTCTAACATTAAAACACCAAGTCCTCCCAAGATTCTTTCTATTAAAAAGGCACTAAAATCTCCCAACATTCTTTTCGCTTTTTTTTTTTAATAAAAAAACTAGGAGACTTCGAGATTCGTTCTAAAATAAAATATTAGAAATTCCCCGAGATTCTTTCAGCTTTTTCTAAAATAAAACACTAGGGGTCTTCGAGATTCTTTCTAAAATAAAACACTAAAAATCTCCTGAGATTCTTTTAGCTTCTTCTAAAATCAGAACACGGGGATCCCTGAGATTCTTTCTAATATAAAATACTAAAAATCCCCGAGATGCTTTCTAAAATAAAATGCTAGAAATTCCCCCAGATTCTTTGAGCTTCTTCTAAAATCAAAAGACGAGGACCCCTGAGATTCTTTCTAAAATAAAATACTAAAAAACCTCCAGATTCTTTCTAAAATAAAATACTAGAAATCGCCCGAGATGCTTTCTAAAATAAAACACTAGAAATTCCCCGAGATTCTTTCTAAATTAAGCACTAGAAATTCCCCGAGAGGCTTTCAGCTTCTTTTAAAATCAAAACACCATGAGCCTTCGAGATTATTTCTAAAATAAAACACTACAAATCTCCCGAGATTCTTTCAACTTCTTCTAACATTAAAACACCAAGTCCTCCCAAGATTCTTTCTATTAAAATGCACTAAAATCTCCCAACATTCTTCTAGCTTTTTTAAAATAAAAAAACTAGGAGACTCCGAGATTCGTTCTAAAATAAAATATTAGAAATCCCCCGAGATTCTTTCAGCTTTTTCTAAAATAAAAACACTAGGAATCTTTGAGATTTTTTTCTAAAATAAAACACTAAAAATCTCTTGAAATTCTTTTAGCTTCTTCTAAAATCAGAACACGGGGACCTCTGAGATTTTTTCTAATATAAAATACTAAAAATCCCCCAGATGCTTTCTAAAATAAAACATTAGAAATTCCCCCAGATTCTTTGAGCTTCTTCTAAAATCAAAAGACGAGGACCCCTGAGATTCTTTCTAAAATAAAATACTAAAAAACCTCCAAATTCTTTCTAAAATAAAATACTATAAATCCCCAGAAATTCTTTCAGCGTCTCCTAAAATCAAAACACAAGGACCCCCGAGATTCTTTAGAAAATAAAATACTAAAAATCCCCGAGATGCCTTCTAAAATAAAACACTAGAAATTCCCCGAGATTCTTTAGATTCTTCTAAAATCAAAAGACGAAACCCTCGAGATTCTTTCTAAATTAAGCACTACAAATTCCCCGAGAGGCTTTCAGCTTCTTCTAAACTCAAAACAGGAGAAGCCTTCGAGATTATTTCTAAAATAAAACACTAAAAATCTCCTGAGATTCGTTTAGCTTCTTCTAAAATCAGAACACGAAGATTCCCGAGATTCTTTCTAAAATAAAATACTCCTACTAAAAATTCCCGGGACACTTTCTAAAATAAAACGCTAGAAATTCCCCGAGATTCTTTCAGATTCTTCTAAAATCAAAACACGAGAGACCCTCGACAGATTTCCGATTTTTCTAAAATCAAAATACGTGGACCCCCGAGATTCTTTCTACAACAAAATACTAAACATCCGGGAGATCTTTTCTAAAATAAAGCACTAGAAATTCACCGAGATCCGTTCAGCATCTTCTAGAATCAAAACAGGAAGACCCCCCAAATTCTTTCTAATATAAAATACTAAAAATCTCCCAGATGATTTCTAAAATAAAATACTAAAAATCCTCGAGATTCTGTCTAAAATAAATCACTAGAAATGCCCCGAGATGCTTTCAGCTTCTTCTAAAATCAAAACACAAGGAGCCCTCGAGATTATTTCTGCTTTTTCTAAAATTAAAACACGAAAACCCCCGAGATTCTTTCTGTTAAAAAGCACTAAAATCTCCCGACTTTCTTTTAGCTTTTTCTAAAATAAAAACACTAGGGGCCCCTGATATTCTTTCTAAAGTAAATTACTAAAACTCTCCCAAGATTATTTCAACTTCTTTTAAAATCAAAAGACAATTGCAATAATAAATTTCTAGATTTAAAAATCCACACAACAGTTTTTAAATTTCACTTTTTGTACACCATAAATACATTGTATTTTTTTTATTCAGTTATATTCTCGAGGACAGCAGTGAATTATTCTTACACCTTCACATGCTCGCTGCACTCGCATTATAATCGTTCGTTTTTTTTGCAGTAGACTGCAATTAAAGTTTCATAGAAATGATTAAGAAAGAACAAAGCTGTCTAATCATTTAAGAAATGTTTACAAGGCGAGCGCAGCGAGCACGTTCAGGTTTCTGACGTTTCTCCGATTTTAGTATTTAGTTTTTGGACACCAACGAATAATTTTGAATAACACCTAAATGTGATCGTTGCACTCGCATTCTGAATGTTTTTTTTTTTTAGTGAATTTATAGTGTGCGAGCACGTTCAAGATGTTCCAGTTCCACAGACATTAGTGATCACAAACTCACATTTTTAAACAGCTAAATTGATTTCAATAAATTTATCTTCTCAGGAACACCAATAAACAATTCTTTAAATTACACCTGAACGTGCTCGCTGCGGTCGCATTTTTTTTTCAACTTTATTATCATAAAAATGTGCAGAAAAAGAATCTGAGCGAAGTTGTTTGTATTTTGTTGTAAGAATTAATCTCTAAATTTCCATTTTTAGATAGTAAAAATTCTCTAAATAATAAATTTAGCTCCTAATATAAGGTCACTGGCAAGTAATTTTTAGTAACGCCCCCGTGCTCGCTGCGCTCTCAAAAGAACGTTTACGCATGAATCGTCAGTGAAACTACTTGGGTTTGTTATATTATAATAATCCTACGGAAGCTAAACAGGTCACCACTCTGAGAGTGAGGGAAGTACCGTATAAATTCTTTAAAGCGATTTTTTTATTTTGTGTAATTTTGCAAATTAATCGTTGTTATTATTATTATTATTATTATTATTTTAAAAGTAAAAACAAATACTCATACGCACTCAAATGCCTAAAATAGAATCGCCCCTAGGCACCTACATCCTACATATTACAACAAGTAGATAAACAAATCAGCATCAAAAACACAAACACAGTTACTTTTAAATTCACCTAATAACAGTAATAACACAACAAAAACTAACAGCCAGCCAGTTTCACGAACACCCAGTATAAATGAACCGTTCCGAAGTCCCCATTTCCACCCCAACTCAATTAATCCCAGTTAACCGCTCCCGTAATCCCGTGAATCACCCGCACCGCAACGCTCTCCAGCCCACGTCCCATTCAAATTCCCAGCTTCCACCCATGTAAACAAACAAACTTCCGACAACATACCCCAGCCGTTTGGCGTTCTTCCTAGATACGCCCCCGTGTCCCGATCGTGCAACTTCCCCTTGTAGAACTCCACCGAGGAGCGCGGATACTGGCGTCCAGAGGTCATTTTTCGCCGAAACAAACACAACAAACACAATTTTGTCCGTCTTTAAAAAATAACGTCCACGCCACAACACGAGCGCCACACCTTCGCTGACCACTACTCTACTACCGCACTGGTGATGGTAACGGCATGGGCATGGGCGGCGAGTCATCCAGGTGAGGTAGGCGAGGCCCTCGAACTCGGCATTTCTCTGTCTTACCTCTGCGCTACGTGTTGAACATGGAGTGCTGAGTGTCTTTGTTGGCGAGCCGGCGGTCGAGCAACCCGGAGTGACGAGGAGCGCGTTGGGTTGAGCGCTGGACGACGGTTTGTTTGTATGGTGGGTGCGAAGTTTCTAGGAAGTTGCGAGTTGCGCGTTTGGGGTGGTGGAGGCGGCGGGTTGAGGGTGAAGTGGTTGGGGGCAGACGGCGAGACGATGTGGTTTTGTTTGGGCGGTAATTTCGGGGGCGGCGATGTGCGACGAAATAAAGTTGTGTGATTTCATGAATCTAAGTACATTGTCGCTGGTGTTTTTAATTTATCTGATGTAAAATTTAATATTATAAAGGGTAATAAAATGATGTCGTGTTTAGTAATGTAATAAGTGTTTGATTGATCTTTTTTAAATGTTAATCATATTAATAGTATCCCTAATAACAGAGATGGACTAGTATTTTATGACCTCATCTTTTCTGTTAGTTTGTCTGATATAGACCTTGAGTATCGTTTTTTTTTAATGTTGTTATTTATGAATATTATTCATTAAACAGTTAAGCATGGTTTAATAATTTGGAATTAATGAAGAAGTTTTTTTATTTTTAATTAAATTTTTCCCGTTTACTCAAGCATTTTAGAAAATTAACCAAACAGATTTTTTGTAGATTCCTACTATTTTTCCAAAATCGTAAAATTGAAAAATGTCAACTTTAAGATTTAAAAAAGGGTAAAGGGATATTTTTGTAGATTTCCATCTCCAGAAGTTATTTTGGCTGCATTTTTTCGAAAAATTTTGCTATTTTTCCAAAAGCGCCAAAATGAATAACATTACTTTTTAAAATTTTCAAAAATTTTACGTTCAAGCCGAATATTTAGTAACAGTTAGTCTGGGATTATCAACACGTTTTGTTTTTCAAATCAGTTAATCCAGATCTATTGCCCAGAATTGTTTGAAGATTTTTGGGTAAATTTTACAAAATTTTGATTTTTCGATATGAAATTTTTGACCTTTAATTGAACAGTTTTGAAAATTATTAAACGAGATTTTTTGTAGATTTAGACCTCTGGAAGTTATTTTCGATTATATTTCTTCGAGATTCACTGTTGTTCTAAAATCACTAAATTGAAAAACATCAACTTTTAGATTAAAAAAAATTGATTTTCGATCAGTTCTATGAAATGTATATTCCAGAATTTTTTACGGATTTTTACGCAACTTCTTCAAAAATCAATTTTTGAATATGAAATTTTTTACTTTTTCCCAAGGACCTTCAAAAATTATGTAAAGAGATATTTTTGTGCATTTCCGTCTCCAGAACTTGTTTTAGCCTCACTTCTTCGAAAATTTTTGTTATTTTTTCCAAAATCGCGAAAATGAAAAACGTTAATTTTTAGAATTTTTAAAAATTTGATTTTGAAGTCGAGTAACAGTTAATCTGGAATCTTCAACAGGTTTTCTTTTTCAAATCAGTTAATCCATATCTATTGCCTAGAATTTTTTGGTGATTTTTAAGTAACTTTTAAAAATAAAAAAATATATATTTTTATATATACAGGGTGTCTCAGAAATAAGTACATTAATTGTAATCAGTTATAGAGCTCATTGAACTCAACAACTTTTCTTAGTAGAGTTTTGTCAAGAACTTTTTAATTATCAAGTTAAAAATTGTGAAAGTTACACCCCAATTAAGGTTACCCGCCCATGGATCCTCAGTCACCCATGGACACTAATAATTATTATAATTAATAATTTATGGTCAAAAACAGTTACTAGGATACGTATTTTCCTAATCTTGTCAATGTGACAAACATTTAGAGAGAAATTGAAAATCCTGCTCCCTAATGGCGTACGGAATTTCATCGGCCCAAATGTGGGTGTTGAACACCTTCCCTCGTGTAACCGACCTCATCAGTTGATGGTGTAAGAGATACAAAGTTTGCTTGTTCGTTTATTTTTCTCTTAACCCACTCACAAAAGTTTTGCCTACGTGGTAAGTCTGTTAGTTTCAATAACTGAACTTTCTAGTCCTGAAAGGGGTACATTTGTTCATTTGTTCTCTGAGTATCCTCCAAATACTACTCTCCGATACATCACACTAGACAGTGATACGTGCTAGTGCCCGGTCGAGCTTCGACACTCTTCAAAACAGCCTCTTCAATATTAGCAATTCGATTACTACGTAACTTACCCCGATCCTGAGGTGCAGGTTTAAAAGATCCGTACTCTCGAAAATGCTGCAACGTTCTTAAAACTGCGCATATTTGGCAGACGATTTGGGAGGTTTTCTGAAAAAATTCCTTGGGCGCGAGTGCCGTTTCCCCGAGCTTCACCGCACGTTAAAACGATATCGGTGCATTCCAGATTTGAAAACAAAGCCATTTCAACACATTTCGTCTATAAATTAGAAATTTGTGCCAAACAAATGTTAAAGAGACAACGTTTAATAAAAGCATTGACATAAAAATGATTGTCAGTGTCAAAACGGTTGCTACGGTACCTTCTTCATTGTTGTAGTGTTGCTACTATTTAAGTTATTATTTAAGGTGAACATAGACGGCTCGTGAATATATGGGTGGGAAAATTCGAAATTCGACTTGAGTTTTCGAAAAAATGCTAGATAAAAAAGTTGTTCCGTTTCACGAGTTCTGTTACTGGTTAAAATTAATGTACTTATTTCTGAGACACCCTGTATACTTCGCAACACTGAGTCCGGGGTCCCGAACACCCTATGTTTTTTACATCAGCTCTAGGAAATCTATATCCCAACATTTTTTGTAAATATTTAGGCAACTTCTCCAAAAGATCAATTTTGAATATGAATTTTTTGACCTTGTCTCGAACAATTTCGAAAATTATGTAAAGAGATATTTTTGGCGATTTCCATCTCCAAAAGTTATTTTGGCCTCATCTCTTCGAAAATTTGTGTTGTTTTTCCAAAACCGCCAAAATAAAAAATGGCAATTTTCAGAATTTTTCAAAATTTGGCTTCAAGTTGAATATTTAGTAACAGTTAATCTGGAATCTTCAGCACGTTTTGTTTTTCAAATCAGTTAATCGAGATCTATTGCCCAGAATTTTTTGACGATTTTTAGGTAACTTTTACAAACTTTCGATTTTTTAACATGAAATTTTTAACCTTCAAGTGACCAGCTTCGACGATTCCTAAATGAGATTTTTTGTAGATTTCGACCTCTTGAAGTTATTTTTCGTTATATTTCTTCGGCAATTCGTACTACATATTTTTCCAAAATCACCATATTGAAAAGTATCAACTTTTAGATAAAAAAAATATATTTTTTCGAGTCGGATATTTCGAAACACTTGTCTTGAACCCTCAACACTCTATGTTTTTAGCTCAGCTCTACGAAATGTATATCCCAGAATTTTTTGTGAATTTTTAGACAACTTCTCCAAAAGATCAATTTTTGAATATATGAAATTTTTTACTTTTTTCCGACCACCTTCGAAACTTTAGAGATATTTTTGTAGATTTCCATCTCCAGAAGTTATTTTGTCCTCATTTCTTCGAAAATTTTTGTTGTTTTTCCAAATCCACAAAAAGAAAAAACGGCAATGTTCAGAATTTTTGAAAATTTTGTTCTCAATTCGAATTTTTCGTAACAGTTAGTCTGGAACCTTCAACACGTTTTGTTTTTCAAATCAGTTAATCGAGATCTATTAACCAGAATTTTTTGACGATTTTTAGATAACTTTTACAAAATTTTGATTTTTTAATATGAAATTTTTGACCTTCAGTTGAGCACTTTCGAAAATTACTAAACGAGATTTTTTGTAAATTTCGACCTCTTGAAGTTATTTTCAGTTATATTTCTTCGAAAAGAATTCCCACTATTTTTCCAAAATCACTAAAGTGAACAATATCAACTTTTAAATTAAAAAAAAGCTGATTTTCGGGCCGAAAATTTTGAAGTCCGCAACCCTCAACATCCTATGTTTTTAGCATCAGCTCTACGAAATTTATATCTCAGAATTTTTTGTCGATTTTTAGGCAACTTCTCCAAAGGATCAATTTTTGAATATGAAATTTTTGACTTTTTCACGAACACCTTCGAAAATTATGTACAGATATGTTTTTGAAGATTCTTACATATCTCCAGAAGTTATTTGGCCTCATTTCTCAGACAATTTTTCCTGTTTTTCCAAAAGCGACAAAATGAAAAACGACAATTTTCAGAATTATTGAAAATTTTATTTTCTAATCGAATATTTCGTAATAGTTAATCTGGAATCTTCAACTAGTTTTGTTTTTCAAATCAGTTAATCGAGATCTATTGCCCAGACGATTTTCAGTAATTTTTATAAAATTTTTATTTTTTAGTATGAACTGCCGAAATAAAAACCGGCAATGTTCAGAATTTTTGATTTTTTTTTTAAGTCGAATATTATATTAATAGTTTTAGTCTGAAATCTTCAACAGATTTTGTTTTTCAAATCATTTAATCGATATCTATTGCACAGAATTTTTTGACGATTTTCAGGTAACTTTGAACAATTTCGATATGAAATTTTTGACTAAGCAGTTTCGAAAATTACTAAACTAAATTTTTTGTAGATTTCGAACTTTGAAATTATTTTCGGTTATGTTTCTTCGAGAAGAATTCCCACTAATTTTCCAAAATCACCAAATTCAAAAATATCAACTTTTAAAATAAAAAAAGCTGATTTTCGGACCGAAACACTTAGTCAAGGATCCTCAACACTCTATGTTTTTAGTATCAGCTCTACGAAATATATATCCCAGAATTTTTTGTGAATTTTTAGCGACCCTCTCCAAAAGATCAATTTTTGAATATGAAATTTTTGACCTTTTTTCGAACACTTTTGAAATTTTTGTAAACAGATATTTTTGTAGATTTATATCTCCAGAAGTTATTTTGCCATCATTTCTTTGAAAATGAAAAACGGCAATTTTCAGAATTTTTGAAAATAGAGATGTATTGCCCAGAATTTTTTGAAGATTTTTGGGTAGATTTTAAAAAAATTCGATTTTTCACACGAGTTTTTGTAAATTGGGATCTCTTGAAGTCATTTTCGGTTATATTCCCTCGAAAATGACTTCAAGATGACGAAAT